TAATTACCAAGTGTTGTATTTCAGTTAAGGTTTGTACTGTAATTCTACAAAAAATAATAATTATTGTATTTAGACTGAACTTCTGCAAGCTTTTAACATTACTTTATGTATTTAAACATTAAACGCAATGCTGCAAGTTAAAGTTTGAGATGATTTTAATTTGTTTTATACAGTATTTTTGAGACTTTATTTTGTCTTCCAGTAGTAAGTAAAGTAAAACTATTTTATTATTTATTATTTTACAATCTTGAGCACGTTAACACTTAAGTGAAGCTGTTGGATTGTAATATTTCAGGAAAAATCTGTAAAATTACAGTGCCAGTCTTAGTGCCATCACTTTATTGAAGGTGTTTGATTGTTATAATTTAGTAAAAAAAAAAATAATAAAAATGTCTTTTTCAGCAAAACCTTTACTTTGATTTTATGCTGTTTGGCAGCTGCCGCTGCCAGTGATTTGACTAGTTTTTGAATGATTTTTTTTAGTTTATTCTCACTATTCAAAATAGTCATTAGAGATATCCAAATCACATTCTTATAAGTAGAAATTATATTTCACCCACAACTATGATTGTACTTGTCAAAACTACATTTAAGATGTCTTTCAATTTTTAAAAAGAGTAGGTGTTTTTTTTTAACATTGAATCGCTAGACTGACTATATTTTGCAGATATTCGTAATTCAATTCTTCCTGGTCAAAAATAACATTTAGGACATCCACAATAACATTCTCCCTTGGACAAATTGTGTCGCTTTTGCCATTCATGTATTGGACTTTCAATTTCAGGCATCCACAACGTCATTTTAGATATCCAGAATGAACTTTCTGAGTATCTGCAATAGAATTCTTAGATTATAATCTAAGATTATTTTTTGGGCTTTTTTGCCTTTAATGACAGGACAGTTAGAAGCATGAAAGGAGAGCAGGAGGGGACGACATGCTGCACCCCGCGGCCGCTGCAGCAAGGACATTTGCCTTTGTACACAGGGCTGTACCCACTGAACTACTGGGCACCCCTTCAACAGATTCCTTACTCAGAAAAACTCCCATTTCAGATATCTACAATCCAGTTGTCATTGTGGATATCTGAGATGTTTTTGTTTTTTGTATTTTTGTTGAGGAAGAACTGAATTACAGATATCTTAAGTATCCAGTCCAGTGATGCAATGTAAAACGGCTTGCCATTTTAGAAGACAGAGAAGTAGAGCTATAGCTGTGACTGTCACAGCCACAGCAGCACACACTGTAGCAATTACACTGCCACAGCGGCAAAAACCTCAAGTTTAGTGGTATGAGAAGGCATGATTCTGAATAAGTGGAATACATGTCCAACAGGGTTGTAATACTCAAGTGGCTTACTCAGTTTTGTTTTTGCACTGAAGCGCTTTGTGGTTGATTGCTAATGCCCAGCACTGCATTTCAGTGTGAAATATACCCTCTGCCCATGCTGCACTGCACATAAGATGCCGAGAGGAGTTAGACACATCACAAATTGAAACTGCTGTCTGAAGCTTATTTTGTGACCCTCCATTGTGGTAAAACACTGATCGCTGACTGGGCTACTTTATAATTCTGTTAGTGTAATGTACGCAGAGCTGCTTTGAGTTTAGTGGGGGTTTTTGAATTTCAGTGATAGAGTGCTGCCTTTGGTTGAAAAGTTCAGGAGTTTGTTTATGTTGACACTTCACTTCATTCTTCAGAGATTTATTATGCAAATCCAACTGAACATTTCACATAATATTATAGCATACCAGAGTGAAAGAAGGGTTGGTATGCAGATTAAATTTTAAGTGAAGTCAAACCTAATTTAATTGCTTTAGTAATTTTAATGTGGGCATATTGTGTCAGGATATCTGTAAGTAAAAGTCTGATAATGATTATACCTGCATATCTGTACAGAGATGACTAAAACTGAGATGTGGAGGTGTCAAGCCTGGATTATGTTAGAATTATACAAATATATGAAAAACCGTCCAGCCTGAGGCACCAAAATGGCCAGAGACAGCCCTGTTTCACCAGATACAATCAATTGAACTAGGAATTCTTAACTAGCAAAAGTGAAGTTGGACATGCCCTTAAAAAGCACTTGCTATTGATCATTTAAATAGCGCCCTATTTTTCTCTTACTGGGACAATTACTACCCAGAATCTAACCATCAGGCACAAACTTTGGATTAAAAAGTTGTTTAATGTAATTAATTCATATTCGGTGTATATTAATTTGGCAAGAGATAAACGGCGCATAATCTGGGTACAAAGTAAGGCACAAGGGGCAAAGGGGTTGTATTCAGTCCCTTAATTAATCATAGGTGTGTTTTGGGTGTAATATGAATTCAGCCAATCAGAGTGTCATCTCCCACTTCCTTAAAATGCCAGGTATGCCTGCACCTGTGATGTCACTGCAGCAAATATTGTTGGATATTTAAGCAGCAAAACAAAAAACTGTAGTTATGAATTTGACGGAGGAAACACAACTTAACTTTTAGCATGCTTTCACACCTGTAGTTGGGTTTATTTGGTCCACACCAGTGAGAAGACATGGTTCATTGTTGCATCTTAGTTTTGGTTCGGTTCCTGTTCACACTGACTTTTTGCAAAGGAACCATGAGGAGTAAACATGAAGTTCTACCAACTGACAGGTAACTGATTGGACAGTTTTGGCATTTGTCATCCTGCATCATCAGGACCCACATAAGAAAATCAAATTTTATTGACTGACAGAGGTTTATGCAGCAGCGATGTAATGCTTCTAATGCGTTTATATATATATATATATGTATATATACGTACAATCTTTGGTTTCACAAAGCGAAAAACAACCGATTGTAAGTATTATTAGGAGGCTATTATTAGACTGCAAATTCATCACATGTTATGAACAATGACTAACACAGAGACATACTGAAAAGAAGGCATATTGTACTGTACTGATTTGGGCCTTGATACTATGGGATCACTGTCACACAATTTTTAATGGACTTAATGAACAGACAAAGTACACTGAGGGCCGAATTCACAAAAGGATTGCGTGGCTTTTGCGGCCGCTTAACCGGTAAAAATGGAGCCAACAGATACCGTCTATTCACAAAGCACGCGCAGAGGGTGAAATGCTCCACTAACTGCGCTGCCAATCAGATTGCGTCTCGGTGCTCCGGTGTTATTTGCACGTATTGAAATGAGGTAATATGCATATATTTGGCGCAAAAATTGCTAATTTCTATGCAAATGAGCCTCATTGATAAACAACGTCTAATTCACTAACACCAGCGCTAATAGCCACACGCAGTTTGAGTGAAGTAAATAACGTCTTTAGAAAGCTGGTGCAAACTGGGCGCTCCTCTGTGGAAGCCTCTCGCCCAGACTTTCCAGTGATCGTGGCAGCAGTGATCGTCTGTTAAATCAGTCTGTAAATAATATTTTGACATTATTATTATAGGTCATTATTACTTTAATGGCATCCGAATATATTGATGCGTTGAACAGGTGACAGTCTGCGGGCGTTCTCAAAACGCACTTCTGTCACGCACTTTAAAAGTAATTTTCAATCATTTATTTTACGAAACGGGGGAAACAAACGTGAACAAAAACGGTTCCATAATTCATATTAAATTCAAAAGATAACGAAAAAACAGCTACAAGTGAGAGGGAATAGTGATAAAGTGGTCAAACTTGGTCAAATCCACAGCCTCAACCCATCCGACACTGTTAGACTGACTCACCAGCAGACATCACTACATGAGGGTATACAGTATTCAGTACTTTGCCAAACAAAGTCTGCCATTGTTCTGCCACAGTGTTCTTGGCGCAAAGCCAGCATTTATACTTTGCCATGTGGCTAATTGCAATCAGGGGCAAATCAGGGGCAAACTGCACTCAGCTGCCAAACTTTGTGGGCGTGTTTGCGCTGGTATATCATTAGCGCAATATCCTCTGTGAATAGGACGTTAAGACGGAGCAAACTGTGGGTGCAAGTGAAGTGCAATTCAAGGTGCTATCAGCGGCCGCAGTTCATTCTTTGTGAATTCGGCCCTGAGTCGGATACAATGATAGCAGTTTTAACGGCTTTTTAATCAGGGAAAATACCAACACTAACGTGCATATGTGTTACCAGGGTTACATGTATGCATTAGCATAAATAGGTTATGGAATATGCGTGGCCTTTATCAGGATCAGTTATGAGTTCATGGACAAATTTCATGATCAGCAGATGGATTCATTATTGGTTAAGCTGTTTCTAAATTCACATATCTGCTGCCATAACATCCTGTGGTTGGTTTGTTTTCTGTCATACCACAAACGAATCACACCAGAGTCGGTTAGGAACCAGACAGAGACCTGCCTTTTTGAGCAGTTTTGGTTAGGTTGTTTGGTCCACACCAGGGTTCGATTGACGGCCACTAGCCCAAATGAACTGTACCAACTGCGCAAATAGACCTGAGTTCATTTTAACTGAACCAAATAAGCAGTGTAATAAGCAGAGTCTACTTGTGTTGTGAACCCACCCATGTCGGCCCATCATACTATCTGAATAATGAAGCCTTTATACAGTAGGAAAGTACTGCACCATTCTGACTTAAGACCAGGTTTTTGTTGGTCAGTGGTGCAGTCACTTTTTGCTGCTTAACAATAGCCCAACAATGCGCTTGACCACACTTTATTTTACGACCTACATGCCCATGAGTGCACAGATGGGTACAAGTACTTTGAAAATAAAAACGGTGTAGGTCTGAAACTAATAATGACAGTTGTGTTGCAGTGTGCACAGCTTTGCATTAGGTGTAAGATAGGGCCCTAGACCAACTAAACCCAGTTTCTGCAGAATATTCTGATTTACAGTAGATTCAACATCTGTTTACCCTGCTGGCTCCCTAATTGGTTTTAGATTGACTAGACTGAAGCTCAGACATAGCTCATAGATGTTTATACTGTCTACATCATTTGATATTTGAGTCAGTGAATGGTTCATGACTGCTTTTTTCTGTTTTCCTGCTGCTTCTCTCAGCTGCTGAGTGAGGAGGTGGACAAAGTAAGTACCTTCACTGGCAGATAAAGTGTGTGGTAATTTGTTCTTGTCTGCTTAATGTAGATGTGTTTGTACAGCCATTTTAATACTTCCTTCCTGTCCTTTCATTTCCACCTACAGGCAGAGCACGAGCTTCGTGTGGCTCAGACAGAGTTTGACCGACAGGCTGAGGTCACAAGGCTGCTGCTGGAAGGCATCAGCAGCACACATGTGAGTACATGATGTTGGCCACAGGGCTCCTTCTGGGAACCAGCAGTGATTAAACTCTGTTAGTCATCCTGTCTAGAGTAGCCAAGTAGAGGAAGCAACATAAATTGTGGTTTTGTGTTAATATTGCTCAGATTTCCAGGTGGTTCCATGGTGCACATTTCTTTCCGTCATATTTAACTTCTGACCATTACCATACGAGTAGCCGCCATGCTGGCCTTAGAGGATAGGGGCGAGATAAAGAGCTACTGTAGCTTTGCACTCCTGTGTCAGAGCATATACTGCGCAACAGAAGAGGAACAAGGACAAATACATCTTTTGAATGAACTGTGTCAACTTGTTAAGACCGTTTGCAGGCTGAAACAGTGGACAGTCCTAAGATCAAACTGCAAGGGGGAGTATATAAAACAGTGTAGAGAAAACAGAAAGCTGTTTGGAGAGCTGTTGTGGACAGGGTTGTGGATGACACAAGCATGTTCCTGGCTTGCTGGAGTGTTAGGATGTTAACTCAGCAGCTACAGTAGTTCATGAACTACACGTTAGTCATTAAGTCACCAAGGCTCTAAAACCACATATTTTGTGAAAAATGCTATGAATAAGATGCTACTTGGTAGGTATAGTATAGGCCAATTCCACTATTTTCAGACCATTTTGTTTTTCAATTTTGACAACTTTGAATCAGCATTTATACCATGTTGGCTTACAGATAACATCATTATACTGTTAGTAATAAAATATATAGGCTAGTATTATAATATAAGGCTGTAGTAATGAAAAATATTGTAGTATACACCTGCTAAGTCTACACCTGCTAAGACCTTTACATGTCAGTCTTTTACAGATTAAACAAACAGGATATAGCATGTTAGTTAATGAGCTTACTGTATCACCTGATCACAGGTAGATTGTTTACCTTTGGACAGAGCCACGCTAGTTGTTCCCCATTTCCAGTCTTGGCAATCCTGATCCTGACTTGCTGCACCCTGACCCCAGGAAAAATAATTAGAGGCCAACATCACCTTTGCATGCTCATTTTTTTTAAGCTAGAGCAAACCCAGCAAGCATTTTTTGGTTTAAAAAACGTCTAATAGCCGTTTACATGAAGACCTGACGTCTAGGCTAAATCACGGCTGAATTTGGGCTGTCAGTGAAAATTTGGTAGACATCTAACCATAGCCAAAGTGTAGACGTCATCAATTATACGGCTATGTAGAGACCATGTCCAAAAAATGGAGATAAACATATTTTAATTACTGTTGACTCTCCATATGTGATTGAATATCATACCGCACTCCATCTGCAATGGCGAAAATTACATTTAATCAATTTCAAAATTAAATTGGCTAGATTTGGGTTACATGTAGCTAGACTAAATCGGAGCTAAATATAGCCAATACGTTTAAATCACGACTATTGCTTGCTGGGAAGGTTGTGGTATTTTGTGAATAGCTTGTTGGGAACGGGGCTAAATAGCACTTCAAAGTTAAGCTAAATTTTAGCAAGGGAACAACTGGCATGGTCATTTTGAGAGGGGTCCCATGAACTCTCACCTCAAGATTGAAAGAATGAATGAGAATGAAAATAGGCTATATTGGTACCCACAGTTCTCCCCTAAACTTGAGAGGGCTTGCTCCCAGTAAATGTTTTGTGCTGCACCCCTTTAAATTGAGCTGTATATATGTATATATGTTCTGCCAGGGGTTCCTCTCATATTATTTTCATCTTTTCCTTTCTCCCCTCAGCTCAACCACCTGCGTTGTTTGCAGGATTTTGCAGAGGCTCAGGCCACTTACTACGCCCAGTGTCATCACTACATGCAGGACCTTCAGAGGGAGCTCAACAAGTGAGGATTCACACTGTTGGTAGATTCATCTGTAAGGCAAAGATATATTAGATTAGGTTAACACTTTTGTAGCTCAGTCACTCAAAAAGTTTCAGTGTTTCCAGTTATTTTGCTAAGGTTACATTTTTCAACACTTGTCTTGCAGTGTTTAGTTTTATGGGAGGAGCTCAGAATTATTGTAGGGTGAGTAGAAGACAACACGCGCATCACTTGCTTTGTCTCCATGTGGTGCAGAGAGTCAATTTAAAAAAATCAATTAGTTCAATGCAGTGTTGATAAGTGTGTGAGGGGATTGACTTTTTTCTTTGAAATAATAGCTCAGAATTAACCACAAACTAAATGCAGTCTAGACAGTGTTGGCTTTGGCTCTCCTCCACCTAACACAGCAAGAAGTGCGTAATTCACTTGCATCATTTATACTTACTGAAATGCAAGAATGTTGTGAGCTACACCATGTGCTGCCTTGTTGTGTCAGATGAACTCACATACTGCAGATAGAAATACAAGGGCCCTATTTCCCAAAAACATCTTAAATCCAAGATGATCACAACACCTGTCATATTTAGTTTCCAACAGACACAAGAGATGTTCTAACATATCATAGTTTGACTACAGCTTTGGGTAAAAAAACTGCGATGTAACACATGAGTTACATCACACTGCTTCTAGTTATACAACCCATATTCAACAATTGAAGTGGTGACATTTTATTTCCAAAAGGTGAAAGGTCGACTTCACTGTTACATCTTAATGTTCTGCATAAAACACTTTTCTGGCCATTATTCAACGTCATATCTCAGGAACAGAAGGGGAGACATTTGGTCAGATGCTGAATTGTTGACACTAATCTTGGGTATATATAGATATTTTGTGCTATCGGGGGGAGATGGGTGTGAAACATCCATCTACGACAAGCTAAGGGCTGTCGTGTTTCCTTGCACTACTTCTTCTTGTCTTCCTCATTATAATAGTCTGTCAAGCAGGCTGCACCCCTCGGTGCTTGTGACCAGCAGTCCATGGCGATTTGATGTGCAGATGATGATCACCACTCTACACTGCATGTTCTTAATATGTCTCCCACTGTTGGAGGAGCAGAGGCAAACACTGCTAATCAAGTCGCCTTGCAGCTCCTCTCTCTCTCTCTCTCTCTTTCTCTTGTCCCCCCCCCCCCCCCCCCAATCTTTCTCCAGCTGTCCCTCTTGATTCAGTCCATTGAAGTCCATTTAAACTCCTGCCCTTTAAGCATGAGAACTGCCAGTTTCAAAAAGGTTGAATTGGGCCCAATCGTACTCAGGCAGATAATCAGAATTTCTAGGCTAGACGTAGGGTAGTAGGAGGCAGGAAAGGGGCCATTACCCCCTCCCACGTTATGCCTCTGGCCCACATTCATTTTAAGTCATGGAGTGCTGTGTTGCAGCTTGAGTGATTGCAAGATGGTCTCTAGTTCATCCTTAAATATTATAAATTGTAAGAAGCTGAAGTTCTGAAATAAGGAGCTGATGCAAAAAATGGTTGAATTGCTAACAAAGGAGAAGGTTACTTTTATAGTACCCATTATACCAACACATTTTCATTTATGTTTTTATAGTATGAGCAAATGATTACTCTAATAAACACCACAGAGTCAGGCTTCCAAATCTGTTTTCTTTTGTCCAGGGGGAAGCTGTTCAGAAAGCAGAACCACTTCAGCACCACCACCACCACCACCACCACCACAGCCAAATACAATCCTTTTCCCATTCTTTTGATGTGGAACACCATCAGTAAACGCATCTGGTTTTGACCAGTCTGTTTTTTTACAGGATAAGCGTAACAGCCTGAAATAAACAAGCTGGAAATCCACTTCATGAGCTTCACTCCTTTATTTGTCTTCCAATGTTTACGCAGATGTGCTAATGCCGTCAGCGCCCTGCACACGACTGCTGTCTGCCCCGACCCCGTCTCCTCTGCTTTCCTGTCTGGACCATCATCTCCTGGGGCTACAGTGTCCTCTTCGTCTAGCCAAAAGCCCAGCACGCTGGCTATGGAGCAGACACAGCTTCCTGTCACGGGCACCAGAAAGGCCAAGGTCCTGTATGACTATGATGCCCATGATGCCAGCGAGCTTTCCCTCTTGGCTGATGAGGTACAGTGGAATATTCTTTGTCATCCCTCCAACATCTCTGTTACACAATATCTGACCTACTCATCAATAGGACACAGTTAGAAGACTTTTAGCTGTGAGATTTGTACAGTTATATTGGATGTTAAAAGTCTACATACACTTTGAACTTTACGCTCCTTACTGCCTTTAGGCTGAACAACACAGTCGCCAGAATAAAGTGCCTGCAATTGTGCATTTCTGCAAACCATGAAACATATTACATTTGCACATTTCATAAATCTTATATCAATGTGACGCAGTCGGGCTGGGCGATATGACATAAAAACGATAGAGCAAAATATGAAACGATAGACATTTTTCTTTCGTCACACGATACATATTGTCATATTGCACAGCCCTATGTCGAGCTGCAGACTGTAATTAGAGACCAACAAACAACAACATCTGTTCTCTCTGTTCATCATCCCGTAGCCTTTTAGTCAATAAATTTGGGTGATTTTTAGGGACCCATTGCTGTTTTTCCAGCAGGGATAATACCAGGAAAAGGAATTGTTTTTAACCGAGACAAAGCTGCTTTTTCAGCCAGGATTGTGTCCCCAAACTGGGTATTTTAAGCCAAAACATGATCTTTTCCAAACAATAACCAAGTGGTTTTTGTGCCTAAACATCCACTCTTTAACCACAGCATCGTTAATATGTAACATAGGTAACGTGCAAATGAAATGTATCAGTGGTTTGCAGAAATGCCATTATCAACATTTTTTTCTGCCAGTTGGGTTGAAAATAAAAACCTCCATCCATTTTCTACACCTGCTTTTCTTTGCAGGGTCACAGGCAGCTGGGATTTTTCCCAGCATGCACTCATTCAAGGTCCAGTGTGTAGAATTTATAAGGACATATTGGCAAAAACAAAATATAATCTAATAAGTATGTTTTCTTCAGTGTAAAAAATCACCTGAAAGTAAGAATTATTGTGTTTACCTGATGATGAACCATTTGCCACTACTTTCTGTGGCAGGCTCAACTGCTACTTATATCTCACAGCAGCTGCAGCTGTTTGGGGCAGCTGCTACTGACCTGCCACTGTTTGGGGGGTACTGTATGAACATAAAGGCTTCAGAAAACCATTAAGGAAAGATATTAGGAAGTTAGGTGGCGTAGTATGAAGAGTGACAAGGTCCAAAATGTGTTTACACTGTAAGTGGGTTTCGCCTGTCAGGTATAGCAGTATAATTTGGTTGGTGTTGGTTTTACAGTTAACTAACTCATATGCCAAACTTTATTGTTATTTTCTTCTTCTGTTGCCCAAGTAGTGGCTTTGCCCAAATAGGTGCATCCCTATAGAGCACAAGTACAACTACAAATAATTTCTGCACACTTACAAACTGTCATTTCTCCAGCAGTTTTTGACAGGTTTAAGGGGGGGGGGTTACAAGCACACACTTCCTGACCATCATTTGAAAAGCTCAGCATCTCTCTATTAATGCTCTCAAAAACATTGACACTAAAAGATAACTTATCTAGGATTTGTACACAGGTTCTTTGTAAACTCTGACTTATTGATCTCACTGTTAAGAAGCAGAAAAATAACTGAATTAAATGCTTTCTTTTATGCAACATCTTAGTCTGGAGGTTTAAACTTGTGTCCTCTCTTAGAGCTGGTGATTAAAACTAAGCAGTCACCTATCAGAGAAAACCGATCTGAGTTCAGACTGTTAACTTACAGCACAGCAAAACTAACAGATAACTGAGCCTCCTACCTGACTGTCAAACCACAATCAATTCAGAAACTGGCCCAAGACAGTCTGGATCTGAATGGAGTCCTACGGAGATCAGCTGTTTAGTCTGGCAGCCGGTGGCTGCTTGTTCCACTGCCATTCAGCGGCTAGCAAGCAGAGCTAACTGCTAACAGCCGCTGCTGCAACTGGACCAGGCGTTAGTGCGACCTCCCATAGGTCTGACTACCCATAACTCTGACTACCCACTAATCCAACCATGCAGGTCTACGGCGAGTTTTATCGTTTTAGTCCCATAATGTTGACCGCCCATTAATCCGACCATTTTAATGCCATTATTCCGACCATTGGATTTCATACCCAGTAGTCCGACCGCCCGTTAGTCCGACCACAGCACTTCCAACACGAAGCAGTTTGTGCATTTCTCCCTCACTGCGCCGGACTGTGAGGAAAGTTTATCTCATCGACGGGAAATCACATCCATTTGCTATATGTGACGTACATGCCCTGGTATTCCCCACACATAAAGACTTCTGTTTTCTGCTGATGTTGTTTTGTTATCTATGTACTGTGGTGGCAAAACTACTATTTAATGAACAGTTTAAAGAAAAAGCCGTCACACGTCGGCTGTCTTTCTTGATTTTTAATAAGCATTCATGAATGGAGACACTCACACATACAACCGCATGAACAGTCAGTCAGTGAATGCCTAGCAAGTCCTCTCGCCCTGCTATCTTTATAGCTCCCATAACACATGCACATCAACAGTCAAAATATGTGGCGCCTTGACATTCCTAAAACACAACATCTCTTCAGACTAACAAGGACAGTTGTTGTCCTCCCTGGCTCATAATCTTGGTGTCTGAGCCTCCGTGGCTTGTGACCTTGGTGTCTCTTGCTGCTGTCACAGTAGGGGTTAAATGAGCAACACATATCATTCGGCTAGAAGTTCAGTTTCATCAAAACGAGTAACACATTATAGGTTAAATATGTTTAAATACCCAAATTTTCCATCACAGTACACTGTCTTGGTTCGTCATGTCAGAGGTAGTGAGTTTTGGAGTATAGACATTTGTTTGTTTTTGCATCTTCAGCACCAAGGACAGCGCTCAAACTATGGTAGTTCTTGTCTGCTTTTGTCATGTGGTGAATTCTACTGTTGGCCTCCTTATGGGAAAAAATGTAATAGAATTTGCATTTGTTAGAACTTCTTAATGTTTTATTTGTGTGTAGCTTATAGCAGCCAGTCAGTAGCCTAGTGAGTGGCGATGTGCAATGCGCTATACAGCAGGAAAAAAAATACAATTATGTCACTCATTCATTCATTCAGTTGGCAGCCCCCGCTACTTAAAACATCTTCCCGTGTGTGGGGAATACCAGGATGTGTTATCCAAATAAGGGCATGTACATCATATATAGCAGATGATGTGATTCCCCGTCGATGAGATAAATGCAACTGTCCTCACAGTCCGCGCATAGAGACATTGCAGCTGTTTAGTGGTACCACTGCTCTGCATTTACTGAAAGGGGAAAGTTGCCTGGTCCCCCCTGAAATGTAACTTTACTGCGGTCGGATTTTTGGGAGGTCGGACTAATGGGATTCAAATACTATGTCGGACCTTTGGGTAGTTGGACGAATGGGTAGTTGACCCATTGGGTGGTCGGATTGACTCCACCCACCTGCTGCAACTAACAAACTCCACAAATCCATTCAGCAGCTTGACCTCTCCACTGATGGCAGGCCTGATTACAAGCATGGCCGGTGTTGGATAGTCCACCACTTTAGTCACGCCTCATCAACGAAAATGAATCACAGATTTCGTCTTGGTTTTTAATATTAAGATCTATTTTAAGCTCATTATCCTCTCATGTTCATCATGGAAATAAGATCGTTGACAAAAAAATTTTGTTATAGTTTTTGTCAACAAAATTAACACCGGGAGACACTTTTGCCATTTTGCTCTTTTGCATCAAAATAGGATTTTTTCAGAGTTTTCTTCTGGTGGCGGACTTGCTGCACCGTGTAAACACAGCCTTCCTCTTTTGTTCCTTTAGCCACCTTCTTGAAAAGGTCCACATTGTGATATTTGGGCATCTCCAAAAACCTGTAGATATCTAAGTCTAAGTCTTGGGCTTTTCTTTTGAGCATGCATCTCCACCCCAGCCTCCAAACTGTTTGTGAGTTGGTTTGTGTACAACATCTCTATGACAATGCACAGAGCTGACCATAAACAGGCAAGAGGCCGTGTTTTACAAACTGCTATAACAACCCCAGTTGAAATGCATATTACAAATGCGCTGTATACCTGTTCAAAGAATGCTATTAAAACTTGAATGATACCGGAAAATACTTAAAATTTGTAATATTTCGCTGGTTTGCCTCTGTCAGAAGCTTCTCTTTATAATGGCATTTGTTCATCATGCTTACTTATACTTTCTGAAGATGAACGATTGACAAATGATTAGACCCCCAGCTATGGATGCCTATCCTTCCAAGATGGCAGCATTTTTCCCAGAATGTAATTCCCATCTCCTTATTTATTCAGGTACCTGGCAAATAATACAAGAGGCACAGTAGGAGGGAAGCTGCATGGTTGGCAGTGAAGGGATGGACAATAAGTGGAGTTAATGACAATGAAATGTTAGAATTATCAGCTTTTGGAATGCTGCCTCCTGCAGGTACGCTCAAAAACTGTAGACATGAGAAACTGTGACCCTCAGGGTTCCTACGCAAATACGGAAAGTATGGAAAAGTATGGAAATAAATTTGATCAATTTCCAGGTATTAAAAAGTATGGAAAATGAAAAATAAAATATGGAAAAATATTTATGTTTCCAGACTATTACCACTGTTCTAAAATACTGTTTTCTAAAATAGAAAATTAGGTATTTCCAAAAATAATTTAATCAATCCGGATCATGTTTTATGCCGGGCCAGGCACAGTTTGTGTGAGAGCAAACTTCTCAGAAAACATACCGCCCCTTTTACCTGACTGACAAGTGGTATGTCCAGACCGCTACATGCTGCACTATGTAGAGGAGAAGAGAGAGCTCTGTCTTACCTCTTTATAAACTAAAGTCATATTATTTTGCGCGACGGACGCTTCATATAATATCGTAACAATATACTATTTATGGTGTTATGTCATCATGGCCTTTCTGTCTCTACATGGTCACGCGTTTACAGTTCTCCTCTGCTCTCTGTGTCGCGCGCGGCGGAGTTCCGCCACACACACAGGTGAGCACGCTTGAGCAGCTTGGGCCACATTTTCCTGACCAAACCTGACCCCGAGCCCGGTGCAGTTTGTCAGCTGACAAAGTTATTGTTATGGACACTGTGTAGATAACCATCAACAGGCTGCTGTTACGCACAGACAAACACGCTGCTTGCACAGCAGCACAGCACAGCACTCTTGGTGCTGAGCTTGTGTTGCATTCAGGCGTTGTCACGTAAATAACAACTTCCAGCACTTAAATAGGTCATAGCACAAAACAGCAGCATGTCAAGTGACTTTTTACTGTTATTATATTCAATACAATTTTATTTTCCTAAATCTTGAGACACCTCATATGTAAGCTAGACAGACGTTTCACCTGCTCATTACTGTGCACACATGTACTGTCTGTACTTAGTCCTAAAGAGCCCTTCTGGTGCCAGTAGATACACAGAAACATCCCAGCAGGCTGTGCTTTGCAAGCATACAAAAAAGTTTCACGCATGTGAAAATTATTTTTCATGCGTGTGCTTCACCTCCGCTGCTACAACTCCATCCTAGGGGAAACATTGCTGTGTGCGTTTTGTGCAACAGGTGGATGTGGTAGTCTACTGGTAGAGTAGAGAGAGAGCTAAATAGCATTGAAGTAGAGTAGAGCAGGGCAGAGAGATGGAAGCAAAATATATCAAACCTGGTGTTAATACAGCAGAACTGGAGAGAGGGGTGAAAAATAAATAGGTGGGCATGGCTCAAGTAGGGCGCAAAATTATAGATGGAGAACGATTGACAAAGATTGCCACTGCCCCCCCAGGGTTTCAGGTTTCAGGCTCAGGAAAATTTTTCACTTTAAGCCCTGACACTGTCATTTTTGTGTAGGAATTAAGCTACAATACATGACGTATGTTGTTTTACTTAATAAATACAGTGTGAATAAAGATTACATAACATAAAAATAGCTGCAGTCTTTGTTATTTGATAGCCGCTTAAATTAAACAATTTTTATAGGGCAAGTAAAAACTGACTTCGGGCAAGTAGATCTTTGACCAACTTGAAGTGCAAGTGAAAAAAAAAAAAAAAAGTGTTGAACCCTACATCGCCAACATGGGGGAGAAGGCGATTCTGAGCCACATGAAAGGAAAAAACACCTACGTCTCATTACTGCATTGCGTGCACCCAGAGTCCCAACCTTTTTGCCTCAGCTCAGACATTGAACTTACCTGAGTTTTTATTTGCATGCCATTATGGTACTTGGCTACAATCGCCTATTAAAAATAATTAAATATGATGTGAAATATGATACACTGATATATTTACTAGATGTTGCATATTCTCTGAAAAAAAAAAATAAACGCTGAGAAGTCTGGAAATTAGGGTATGGAAAAGTATGGAATTTTGAAATTCCAAATGTGTAGGAACCCTGGACCCTTGTGGTAGAAAGATGAAAAGGAAGAAATGTGAATTTGATATCATTGTGTAAAATGAAGACAGGTATGACCTCTCCCATTTCATATATGAAGAGCGTACTTGTAAAAACGGATAAACATGAATAAACGAACAAATATGTCATTGACTGATAGTCCCTGGTGTGCACACATGAAGAACACGAGTTATCAGAATCAGAATCAGAATCAGCTTTATTTGCCAAGTACGTGTGTACATACAAGGAGTTTGACTCTGGTAGACTTGCTCTCAATGTACCAGAAATGACATAAGTACACACATTTAGGCAAGAACATACAGAATATACAATATACAAAAAATATACAACTATACATTAAATATAAAAAATATAAAAATATTTTTAAAAAATCATATTTTTAAAAATATATATTTAAAATATACAAGGATGCAGTGTTGTTTGACCTGCCACTCTGTGACCGTTTAGGAGTTCATCAGAGCGACAGCCTGGGGGAAGAAACTGTCTCAGGAGACTATGTACAAGCAGATGTCTTTGTTTTAAAAGAACTCCTCAGGTATATTCTATGATCATTAGATAATCTGATGAACTTTAGTCTGTGAAATAATGAACAGTTGGACAAATTAATTGTATGCTGCTGCCGTTTGAAATGCCCCAGTCGGGCAGAGTGCAGAGTGTCACTGTTATCCTATATGTTCCAATATATTATGTTTTATAATGTGTTTGTTTCATGGCTTTTAATTCTTTTTATCGCTGTGTGTTAAATGTGTTGTATGTCGTTGAAAAGTGCTGTGTCACAGAGTGTAAACAAATAACGTTTATAATCATTATTATTAATATTTATCTCATGTGTTCGTTGGCCAAAATTGCCCCTCAGTTACAATCAGGGAATCCCTTTTTTACATGTGATCAATCAGTTGATGGGTGGGTATAAAAAGCAGTGATCATAGTGCGTATAGACGCACAATGGCTTATTTGGCACTGCTAGAGGATGTGGTGGATGGGAGCGGATCTTCAGGGACCACCAAGATCTACTGGTCAACGATGATGAGTGGCTTATGAGCCAGTTCCAACTGCTGCGTGCAGTGCTGCTGGATCTCTGTGCTGCATTGGGCCCGGCGTTACCAAGAAGCACCCGCAGGATCCAAGCTGTGCCAGTGCTGGTCTACACAATGTGGCATAGCTGAAAAACGTGCCACTACCACTTGACATGGTTGCTGGCCCCGACCTCTATCCCCAGGCATTTGAGCCAAATGCTGCTGCTGCTGCTGCTGCACCAGCGTCTGGATGTGATGCATCATTATGAAACAAGACGTATTTTAAGAAATCATTTGAGTCAAGTCAATCAGATTGCTTGTCAAACAGTTATGGCAACTGTGTCCCTCATTTAGGGTGTTTATTTCAGACAGTCACTGAAACAGACAGATCCAAACATCCCTCGGTTTTCTGTCTAAATAAATCAGCGTAAATAGCCTTAACACCTTAATATTGGACGACTTCTTGAGTCACCAGACAACACTGTCTTTCTGTTATCTACCTCCCTCGCTCACCTGCGTCACATTTCAAGTTAATTGTGATTTATAAAGGGAAACAGGCGTGGGACATGCATGCGCACTATGTTATAAATCAGGATATTTTTGTGCCTAAGCACTTTCTGTGCTTTGTTCGTACGTCACCTGAAGTCACCTGTCCTGCGCACAGTTTTATAAATGAGGCCCCAGGTTTGTTTGCTTTGAAGATGAAGAGACCTCTGTGGATAATTTGTCTCTGATGAATTCTGACGGAATTCAGCTGGTTGCAACCTGCAATCGTCACCACTAGTTGCCAGTAAACCCCCCCTTAATCCTACACACTGGCACCCTAAATAGCATCATTTTGGTATATGTCTGAAAATGTTCTCCTTTGTTTGTTTGTTTCTCCAGCTCATTACAGTATACACCGTACCAGGAATGGACCCTGACTGGTTGATTGGAGAACGGGGCAATGAAAAGGGCAAAGTCCCTGTCACCTACCTTGAACTGCTGAGCTAATGGACCAAACAACAGGACACACACACACACACACACACACACACACACGCACACACACGTATTTTCTACACTTACTGTATGTGTGGCTATAAACACTTATGCAAACCTGGTGTTATGCAAGTCTGTTGGAAAAGTTTTCATAAGTACAGATGAGTTATTGGAGGAAATTGCAACAAAAGCTTGTTATGTGGCCACTTGGGTCATTACAGACTTCCTCTTATTCCAGTGATGTGTACGTGTATGCGAGTGTAATGAGACCACAGTTAAAGCTACATTCCCTGTTTTTGTTAGTTTAGGTGTCTTCGTGTTAAATCTGTGTTTTTACCACAAAGCATTCGCAAGGCATTCAAGACTAAGATAGGTTTGCAACTAATGATTCTTTTCACTGTCAATTAATCTGCAAATTATTTTCTGAATTAATCAATTACTAAGATACAAAGTAAGTTACAAAGTGTGACAAATGTCGATCACTGTTTTCCAAAGCCCAAAGATGACATCCACAAATATTTTGTTTTGCCCACAACCCAAAGATATTTAGTTTACTGTCATAGGAGAGAGAAAAAACACAGAAAAAAACACATTTAAAAAGCTGGAATCAGATAATTTTGACTTTTTTTCCTCAAAAATATTACTTTAACTGATCAATCAATTATCAAATTAGTTGGCAATTAATTCAGTAGTTGCAACTAATCGTATCATTGTCGCAGTGCTCGACCTTGCATGATGCATTTAAGGATGATTCTGATTTACTACAACTTGGGTCTTTTTTTCTGTAGTTTAGGTTTAGTTTAGTTTAGGCCATCATTTGTATCAGGATCATGTTGTACCCACAAAAGTATCTGCTGGGAATTGGAACACGATGATATGGCTACAGCAGAGTTTGACGGGCCAGGAAACAGAAGCTGTCAGAAAAATAGACGATTATAAACTAGCCAAATTAGGCCAGATGATTTAAGCCTCTTTCTAGAGAGCTGAAGTAAAACTGAAACTCAATTAAAGTCATTAATTGTCATAAAGTTGCTGCCTTGACACACAAGTCCACTTTCAGCTCCACAACCCCCAAAGCTGTGTTAATGCTCTGACCTTGTTTTCTGTTTTTTTCTTTTTTTTTCTTTAGAAATGTTCTCACAAATTCCTGTGAGGTGTTACACCCTAAACACATGAAAATTCCATCAATGATTAAAACATGTGTGCAAAGGTTGTTCATGAAATATGATACCGGTTGGCCCCATGGGGGCGCTATAAGTAAGGCTAAAAAAAAAAAAAAAATTTTTAAGGGAAACACCCCTCACACTGTAAGTGTGACTGACCTGAAATCTGACACACAATTGTAGCTCAATGTGCTGTACGAAAAACACACAAGAACCATGATGGGACCATCGGTAACATTTTCTGCCATTTTTAATTATTTAAAAAAAAAAAAAATTGCATCTTGTCCTAAACCATAGATCCTATTCATACCAATCTTTCTGTGGCTCATCATTGGACCAAGCTTATCAAAAGTTATCAAAAGCTTGTTGATATCTCATTGTGTTTTGATGATATTGACCAATGAACCTTAGAGGGGTCATGGCTCAGTACATAACTCATCAATGTTTCAGCCAGTCATCACAAAACTTGCAAGCAATGTCTTAGGAGGTACCAGGAACATATCCTGAAGGTTTCATTTAAATTGACTACTAAGGGGCACAACAAATGCAAAAAATGGGTGTGGGATTACACAAATCAGAATAAATCATAAATTGATAGTCCAGTCAGCTTGCAGGGTATGTTAAAGCTTTCAACTAAAAGGAATGGATTTGAGGGTTTTACTTTGTACTGTCAACCTCATTGAGCTGAAACATACATGGTAAAATTTACAACAACAACCAATGTTTGCTGATATATTTGCTGATATGATGGCTCAATGTTCCGTCTTTTCCTGCTACCGTGGCCAGCTGAGCACCATTTCACACATTCTTTGAAGGCCGACCATTTCATTGGCCAACTAAAATGAAAAAAATTGCCCGCAAAAGACAACCTGGGGTGTACACATCGAATATATATTTTCGTCCAGTCATCCAACTCTAAAATGTACGGATTGTAAATCTTGGAAGTTTCTTGTTTGAATTTTCAGATTCAGAGTCCTAACCTCACCATTTTCCCACTATCACAACACTTGCTGTTAGTTTGTGAAATAACAACAGTATACAGTGTTTGTGAGTGATCATGCTGAGTCATGCTGAGTTTTTTTCAAGGAGAACTTGATAAATAGTCTGGTGCGATACTAACTGTTTGGTTTCAAGTTTAAATGAGGATTTCTAAAATGTTTGTGGAGAAACATGATAGAAATGTACATCCTGTATGAGGAACTACACTGCTACTCAATTTATTATCAAGTAAAACCACTAAGTGGTTTAAAAGAATGCTTACAAAGTGACATGTGCCTAAAGAAGTCATGCAGCAACACTAAAAATAGATCACAGAGGGGCAGTGCAGACGGAGGCCATATGACACCTTGTGAAACTTCCTTGCAGTAAATGTTGCAAGAAAGTTTAAAATAATTTGAAACAGAACAGTGTGTGGTAACTTTGTGGAGGAAATGAAAATCGTGAATCACTTACTCTTACCATCCAACACAAACATTAAATTATTACCATGGAGAAGTTCTCCAGATGTGTCGGTCTTGTTTACTCATTTTTATCTTTGTGATCATGTCATGTGCTTAGTTTGAAGCTCCGACACACTCATTTGACTTGCAGCCAGCCAGCTTCCTGACAGAGGAGATCCTCTCCACTCACAAAGTATGCAGGGTGAAATCAGGCAGAGTGGGTTATGAGGCCAAAAGGGCAAAGTAAAGTCAGCCCATCCACCGGTTTCTGAAAAGAATTTCCACTAAAGTAGACCCAGTCATCATGTAATTTGTGTAACTTCCTTGCAATAATTGTGGCAACAGTGAGTGCAAAACATTTGGAAATAGAGTGATCCAGTTTGTTGTGACCTGTGATGAGCTAATAGAGCTGATGATATTCAGGAAAAAAGGTCACATCCATCAGACAAAGTAATGACTCATCACTTTGTGAGAAAGTGGAGTGTTGTATGACTAATGTTTCATTATGTGTAATTAACTAGTGATGATGTAAAGTCTGGATGATTTATCTCACCAGTGACAGTGTAGTAAGTGTGAGTCATAACTGCAAGTAATGTTGTAGGGCGTCCAAAGGGAATCCTAAGTGTGATTTCACATCCTGACATGCTAATAGTAGAAGCTTGAGTATACAGTAGTTAAGTGTATCTGGCATGGATATCCCTGTTACCAGGGGATAATGCTGAATGTTTTTGTGACCCACCCAGACCTTTCTTCGAGAGGCATCTGTACCTCTTATCATTTTAAATAGAACTGTCAGAATGCTATTAAATTTGCTACATTGATGCTTCTCTCTAGGGCCACCCTCAGGACAAAATTTTTACTTTCAGCTTTACGACTGATTAGGCTGTAACAACGGAAAAATTGTCAATATGTTGTTTGCTCTATTTGTAATTATGTGTGATGAAAATTTCAGCAGTGCTTAAGACATTTGGTTTTGTTTATATAGCCCAGTTGCCAGAAGGAGATGTTGGCATAGTAGGTTTCTGCAAACCCTTAATACTTTAGATTTGTATGTTTCATACATATCATGTCAATGTTTCGGAAGTTACATTATTTATAAATATATTCAGGCTGTAAATTGATTAATATATTTAATCGCAATTAATCGCATGAGTGTCAAGTGTATCGCACATTTTTTTTCTGTTCAAAATGTACCATGAAAGGATATTTTTCAAGTTTTTCATACTCTTATCAACATGGGAGTGGACAAATATGCTTGCTTTATGCACATGTACATTTCTTATTATTGCAACAATCCAAAACAATGATAAATACTCTTCAGAATATTCTCCAGGATAACTTACTGGTACTGCATGCTCAAAAAATATGCTGAAAGCATATTATGGCAAACTCAAGCCCAACAAACAACAACAGATGGACATATTGACCTGAATGTAGCATTACTCAGTAATACTAACACAATATAGTGTCCAACTTTACACTTGTAAAGTTTAACCAAATATCCCATTTTTGACGCAGTTCGATGTAATCTGGTGGGAACTCAGGTCACACCGACAGTAAATGCAAATAAGTTTGGTATTGTTATAGAACCATCTGGCAGGGCTTTACAGTTGAACTTGCCATTCAAAAGACCCCTTGCTTTATCCATTTCTCCTCATGGAGGTTTGTTTCTGCTCGCCATCCACAATGTTACTGCTGCATTGCTTCTTGAGTTCCCAAACTACAGGGTGGGCCAAGGGTCATTATAACAGAATGTGTTGATCGCGCATCAAAAACATTTGTGGGATTAAAAGGAATTTGTGTTAACTTGTTATTAACACATTGACTTTGCCCTTTGACAGCCAGTGAACTGATCAGATTTTGGTGGTCATAGCCTAGGTCAAGGTTACTGTGATCTTGAATCTATATATCTCAAGAATACCTTGAGGGAATTTCTTTAAATTTGGCAAAAACGTCCACTTGGATTCAACAATGAACTGATTACATTTTGATGGTCATAGGTAAAATGTCAAGGCCGGTTTGACCTTGGTCTCAAGGCCACTTTCTGAAGGTCTTAGACTCGTCTGCATATTTACTCAATATTGTCTCATCTCAGATAAACTTTGGAGTTTATTTCAAAACCAGTCAAGACCACAGCTGCGGGCCCTGTGCCATAAAGGATTGTGAATAAAGATGGTGAAGTTGATAAAGCTTCTTAACCTTGCTAACTCTGCGAGGATGCCAACCCTCTCGCTCCCTCCTCTGTTAAATGGTATCTCCCAGGTGCACTACATCATCAAACCATGCCATTTTTAGTATTGCTGGATTCAGGAAGGTCTCGACTTTTAAAAAATAACCTTGTTTTTCTTTTATTTCTTATGTATTTCGCACAAGACCAGCCTTAACACACATAGTCCAAAATCGCAGTGACAAGTCGTGTCATGCTGTTTTTCAATGGGAAAAGTTACAGGATTACACGCAACCTTATGAGTGGCTGTTAGCATTGACTTAGCTCTTTTATAAAAGATAAGAGTCTCACTCCTACCGCTATTTTTGGCTGAGATACGACATCTAGAAAGTAGGATCATAACTTTGTTCATTGATAGTTTGCCTACAGTCCCATACTGTCATTTACCTCCACAGATGAAGCCACTGACAGTTATTTATCCAGATTTTTTTTAAATTTTTTTTTAGGCGGACCAAAATCTTCAATTTTTTTTACTTACTCTGTCTCGTTATCACCTAGAGTGTGTCTGACACTTTCACAAGAAACTTAAGGGAGTTTTCTTACTGACAAGACCTTATGCATGCATGTAGTCAGAGCAGTTCAAAAGCTACAATCATTTTAATTTGGGTATGTCATTTCAGGCGTTTTTGCTACAAAATAGGGGTGGAGTGCAAGAGGTTGCCTCTTACAGACTGTGAGATTTTAGCAATCATATAAGTTAAGTGCAGCTACACTGTGCAACATGGATCCAATAAACTTGGGTACAACATCAAGTTTGATGTATGCAGACTATACGATG